TCACTCAAGAAAACAGGTCCCTATTATTGAGGTAACTAGCACCTCACTACAGAAAACAGGTCCCTGTTATTGAGGTAACTAGCACCTCACTACAGAAAACAGGTCCCTATTATTGAGGTAACGTATACAATTTCTGTTTACATTTAAAAAGCCCTTTCTAGTTTTCATTTTAATTTTGTAATATATCTTTTTAAAATTTATTTAAATCTTTGTTTGATTACGGTACTTTGTGCATTCAGTTGTTAAGACATGTGGCTGAATATAATTCCATTATTCTTAATCAACCTTATCATTAATATAAACAAGTAGGATGTTGTCCATTCCTTAAAGGTATTGAATGTATATTTCTTAAGTACTTTCAAGTGTAGTTTTAAAAGAAGCCTTTTACTAGTGACGTCATTTCAGTTGTTTTTTCTTTGGGAAAAAAAAGGGGGGGGGGCAAAACTTTGTTGGCTTGTACAATACATAGCAATTTAAATAAAACCTGCAAATTCGGGGTGGGGGGGGGGCAAATGCCACACCCCGCCCTACCAAAATGACGTCCCCGTCTATTACAATAAAAAAAATTGAGCCATAAAGCCACGACACATACAAATAATACATAGTTCTACAAAACCACTTAGAAGCTTTATACGTGTTTGCTTTACTCTGTGAAAGGTTACCTTTTTTTTTGGGGGGGGGGGGTTGGGGGATGGAGTAAGAGTAGCGAGCCATGCCATATTACACCGTTCACCTGATAGATTCATTTTAATAGGGAATATACGAGAGAACTATCTCTGTTTTATTCGGGCGTTCGATCATCGCTACCTGTCTTGATTAAATACGATAGCTTCGGTAATGTGCTGTGAAGCTGCAAATAAGTTAAATATCTACAACAACTAAATCTCAGACATATTAAAGTACAAGAAAGTTGATGACTCATATATTTTTAAATAATAATAATAATTTTACATATTATAGCTCTTTAAAAAAAAGTATTATATTTTGAACAATGATTGTAATTAATTTAGTGCTTTATGATGTTAATCTGTATCCTGCTGTAAGGCGTATGGGCAGGTTTGCCAACTCCACACAAAAATTATTACGGGCACTCATTCTAAAACCTCCAAATGTGTCCTCTCTTGGTGTATTTGAATTTCGGAAATCTACTTTTGCTGCTTGATTACAGACCCCGAGCTTCTGAAAATGTTCAGCTAGCATAGTAGCTTAGCCACAGTGGTTTGCGCCCGGGGACAAGATTGATTTTTACCCCCCCCCCCCAACTTCCCCCGCCCACACACTCAACTGAAAACCCCATTATTTTCTACAATAAAATACCGATTTATGGTGCCCCCCACCCCCCTGCTTGTCTTGCGCCCAGCGACATCTGCCTCTTTATTTACACATCTGATGTAGCACTGAACATGTTAGCGTAGCATTCTGATCTTTCAATGTGCAGGGCATTACACTTGATGAAGCAGAACAAGGGTACAAGGGCGTGGGCGTGGGCGTGGGCGTGGGGCGCAAATTGTAAGATGCGAATGATACTTATCTGTAATTATTCCAACGGATGTGCTTATGTACTTGTGTCCTTCAATTAAATCCAACCAAATATGTAAAACCCACATTGGAGTCTTTTGCAAAACGCGCAGATGGAAAGCATTGTGAGTATCTTGCTTGGCTAAGTTTTAACATTTTACAAGGCTCCAGTGACAAGCAAAAAAAAAAAAATAATAAAAATAATCATATTCCCTAGCCTTCTATAAGTTGTAACTACTTTTTCTAAACTTATACAGGCACCACCACCACCACCACCCTCCCCCCAATGTTATCTAGCCTCACAGGTTAAAATGCTAGTTATGCCGCTGATGATAATATCTGCAATTAACTAAACAGAGAATCACGTGCATTACCTTCAGGCAATTATGAAATTTAAAAAAAATTAACATGTTATCTTATATGATAAATTAAGTTTTGTAAAAGCTGTGAAACAGACCATTTTATCTTTCGTTTTTTTGTTTTTTTTCATTTCTTTATCCATTTTATGTTGAAACTTTTTTTTTTTCGCCAGCGTTCTGATCTACGTTGGCAAAATTCTGAATGCACATTACATCAAAGCAAATTCACATTTTGGCGCCACTAAATGGCTGGCGCCCGGGACGTCTGCCGCCCCCCCCCCCCCCCCCCCCCCCCCCCCCCCCCCCCCCCTC